AAATATTCTGAAATATTCTGAAATATATATATAGTGCATAATGAAAATGCATGTGTGTGTATAATACTTGTGTATGTGTTTTTTATCAAGGTGGAGAGAGTAAGCTTTGGGAAAAAAACAGGCTTATATTTATATATATTTTAAGTTCACTGGAGTACAGGCTGAAACCGTGCCCACCTCATTTGTGAGTCTGTTTGCAAGATTAAGAAAGTGAGGCGGGTCACAACAAAACAAGCCCTTATCCCACGGGCGCCTACGGCRTTACTGGGTAAATCATTACCAGGTCAGTGATTAACGCCAGGTCCTGGGGCTTGTGGAGGCGGTTCCGGAGAAGTCTCCTCCCTCCCGAGACTTTTTGTTTTTCCTGTTGCAGGAGGTAAGGAGCAAGGTTATTTACAGGTTTCTGGTTTGCCGCTGGCACAGCTTTTCGCCTGGGTCCAATGCAGTCCAGGAGCTGCAAGGCGAAGGGAGGATCTCGTCCCCTCTTGCCGTGCACAAAAATAAACCTCTTCCTAAGTGTGTCCCCAACATGGGGGTCCATGAAGGGGAAATACAGTGTATCGGGCATCTCCAGGCCGGGCTAGCTCAGGCACTGGCTCCGTGGTGCTGGAGGAGCAGCAGGTGGGTCACGCTCTTCTTTCCATGACCGAGAAAAGTTTGCGCTGCAAGTCACTCAGGGGACGGAAATGGGTGTTTCTGTCCCCATGGGCTGAAGTAACTTGAGGCCGAGCAGCGTTTTGAAGGGGWAAAAAACAGGCACCAGCTAAGAGGCACTGCGGGTTGTCCACCATCAGATAAGGCTGATGTGCTGTTTGTGGGCGGTTGCCGTAGGGTGTAGTAAGCAACAGGTTCTTGCTGCTAACAGGCTGAACTGCCTTGCAAGGGGGTTGTTTTGCTGTAGGCTGTCTCCCTTTGCAACCGGAGTTGAAGAAGCCCATCAGCTGCCTGTCAGTGCTGTAAGTCCTTGAGGAAGCTTGGCTTTACGTGCGTTGCTGTTGCTCTCAGATGTGTTCTCTTCAGCCTGAGAAGGCTCAGAGTGCCCTTGCTGCTCCGGGAGAGCACACGTTATGTTTAATATGAAGTAGTTATGTTTAATATGAAGTACGTCAGGAGCTGATGGGGAAGGGACTGGATTCGAGCCTTTCCATGGAAGATGTGCGCTGTAGCAGTTGATGTCAGAGGGGATCTCTGGATTGAGGACATCTAAACTCTTGCAGAAGAAAGGAGCGGTCGCACCGGTTCCGTTCAGGCTCTGCATCTTTGCTGGTGGCCGTGGGTGGGACCTGCAGCCCTACCTGCCRCTTCCCTCACGAGTGGCTTTGCACGGGCTGCTTCCTGCTCGGCCTGGTGTGGGCCGACTTCTCACTCAAGGCTGATGGGTCCCGGGGCACGTTGCCTCCAGCAGGACACAAGTCCCTTCGTTCCGTGTTGTCCAAGTGCTCGCCCGTTCCCCTGCGAATTGAGTCCCTTATTAACCGCYGGGCTTCTCTCTTTTGCTCTTTTAGGGGCAGGACGTGCTGAGTGGGACGTCATCCAGCGCACGTGAGGCCCGGCCGGGGAAGGAGAGGACGGCGGCCCTTGGGATAAGCAGGTAGCCACRTTGGCCACGTGTTCAGGGAGGGCTGCCTCAGGCCTGAGGTGCAGGGGAGAGGAAAAAGAAGGCARCCCCATTCCTCCTCATCTCTCTTGGGACACGTATTCCGGGTGGTGTTGAAGATCTGTGAGCTTGCCACAGGCCTGGATGTGACTTTTGCCAGGAAAACTGGCCCGGTGGTGTGCTTGGGTATCTTCAGTTGTTCCCAGCAGCTGTTTGGCCTCCCTGACAAAAAAACACGGGGTGAGATGGGGAAAGGAGTCAAGTTAAAGATAGAAGTAAAGGTGAGGAACCTCAAGGTAAGGTGTCCCCAGAAAGCTCAGCTGCTCTAGCGACGTGTTGCTCCCACCACCAGGGGAAGGATCTGCTCAGGTGACCCAGCAGATCCAGCAGCAACTCCACAGGGAGAAGGTGGTTTTACCCCCTGCCCTGGCACGAGCCCGGGGGAGGAGACCAGGAGTTCAGGGTGCCTYTGAGAACCTTGAGAACCTCCTTGCAGCACCCCTTGTCTCTCGAGCGCTCTAAGCAGGACGTTTGCTTTGCTCTTCACCTTCTCGTAGCTAATGGAAAAGGGTTATGGGAACATTGGGAAACTTTTTAAAAAAAGTGCTGGGGCCTCTATTCCACGTATCTAAAATGGTCTGTTGGGTTATAGCAAGTGTTTGTGCATGAGAGGGGCGTATTAGCCCCTCTAATTATCGCTGCTCTTGGTATGTTTTTCTGCTTGTATTCTTCCGTGGCCTTTTTTAAAATGAGGGCRAAAGGAAATTGTAGCTTTGGTTGTGAAGCGGTTTGGCTTTTTGAGGCTTTTTGGGTTGTCTGGATTTTTTTTTCCTGTTGTTAGAGAACCTCCAGCCTCCATTCAGTACCTCACTAAATGTCCTGCTAAGTGACAGGCTAAGAAAAAAATATTCAGGGGCAGTTCTGGGTAGTTTTAGGAAGCTAGTTCCTAAAAATCAGTATATTCCCTATGTGGGACATAGAAGTAAAGCAATATTTAGTTCATGATAACTAAATAATGTTTAGTTGTGTGATACTCCATTCAGAAAGTCAATGTGTAACCCTTTCCCTTGGCAGTGCCAAGTCAGATTTTCGCTCTCTGATTGCATGTACAAATGTCAATTCCCCTGTGTTTAAAAGTAAATTTAAGAGTTAAAGTTATTCTTTTAGTTGCTGGACAAGAATCCTGAAGACTCTTGAATCCAGGTAACTAAGTTTTCTTAGAAGTGAAGTTATAAAATRCTTCAAGGTGCGTTGTTCCTTGGAGCAAAGCTTTTAACCGAGAAAAAAGGTGCTTTGATTCCTTTGATACACAGAATTGTCTTTTTTTTTTTTTTCTTTTTTTTTTATCCTTTAAAAAGAACGGTTTGTTCTTGCTGAATGTTTAACAGCAAAGCAGGTTCCTCCTTTGTAAGAAAGATGCTGCACTTAATGCTCACAACGTAATGCAAAGTCTAACAGAGCCAGASCAGGTTTATTTAGGCTGGGGAAGCTGATCTTTGGGGATGGGTGGATARCTGCAACTGTTGTTAATGTGAAACTTTGCTGCCCGCTGAGCGCCCCTCAAGTGCGTGCCCTCCGGTAGGGGACAAAAGTCCCATTTGAGTGAATTATTAATGCTGATTCCACAATAACCGGGCCTGTTGCTTACGAAAGCGTGTGCATTTATATTTCATGTCTCTGCCTGGCCTGAATGTTTTATTAAAAAAATATATAGTGCCAATAACCCGAGATGGGCAAATTCCCCTTGAGTTGTCTCTGCTCTTGTACTCCTGTGTGGCTTATRACTTAGTTGTGAGGAATGATGCAGGCTTACAGGTCTAGATCAAGTAAAATCGGGTCCCTACACTGCTCTATCATTAACATGGAGTAAAACCTGTATTAAAACACCTTTTTTTGAGTGTTGTTACAGTACCGCCTAGGGTGCTCTGCATGTTCCGTCAGCATTTTTGCTGCAGTACCACTAAATCCCCATTCAATATTTGCAGATGTAGGTGTTTTCAGACCAAACGAAGGGTCTGGGCTGGCTGAGGGCAGGTAATAACATACCTGCTTTTACAGTCTGGTTTTGCACGTCTTTACGTCCTGCAAAATCTTTGCTCCACCACTGCAAAGCCCCACTAAAACAAAAGAAACCCCCTTATATTCAGGCTCCTGTGACTCCTCAATATCTTTTGGTGTGGGAAACCTCCAAAGCCGCTCCGCTTGGTTTTCCATGTCTTAAAAATGCCTGTTTTTAAGATGCCTCTACTCCCAGCGTGAGGAATATTGGTGGTGCTGGGGGACTGCGTGTGGGTTTTCAGGATCTGGTCTATGGTAGCAGGTTGTCCCCTAAGATCCCTCATTAAAAGCCCTCCTTCCACCCACTTGAGGAGATCTGGTGCATGATGTTCTCGCCCACTAGGTCTTCTCCAAGGGAACAAAGACAYTGTCCAGTGCCTCATGACAAGCTCTTGCCTCTTGTTCTAAATAGATATGGATATCCATGGTGGCGTGGMAGCCAGCGTGTGTTCTGTGGCCTGTTATGCTTTTCCAAAAATGCTGGAAGACCGGGAAGCGCTGGGATCGCTTGCTGGACGTTCTTGGGAGGGAGATTTTGGAGCGGTTGACGTTGGTGGAGGTCACCCCTCGCCGTGGTCCCTCTTGGAGAGGAGCAGTTGAGAGTAGATAGTGGACGACACTAAGATCTGCTGACCAAGCTAGAGACAGATCTGCTCCGGGAGGAAATGTCTTGGGAAACAGGGACCCCGAAATGGGAGAACAGAGCTAGAGTTGCTGTCCCTTTCCCTCACTCCTTGTTGCTTCCAGTGGGAGAGATGTTGGGATCGGAGCGGAGAAGAGAGATGTTTGACCTCTCCATCAGCGCTGACCTACCTACCTACCAGAAATGATGCTGCTTATGCGTCCTCTTCTCCCTTTCAGAGCAGGCATCGACACGGGAGATACGAAAGCAGATGAATAAAGACACACCTGAGGATTCTTCCCTTTGACCAGATTAACAGGGTTGAAAATGAACAGGCTGCTTTTTGGGTAGGTTTGTGAGAAGTGACAGCTGAAAGGCAGAGATGAGCGTCTGTCCTATCTAGATATCTGGGTATTTACAGTTGAACTCTGGGGACTTGGAGGCTTTTTGATCTAGTTCTGCGGTGTTGGCCTCCAAAAGGAATATATTTGAAATAAAATATTTACGTGGCTAATGAAATATGGAAATATATTATTCTAGGCTGGGTTTCCAAGGGCATAAACACAGTCTGAGGTTGTTTTACCCAGGAGGAAAGGAGGCTGGGAGAAAGCAACTGCTGTGGCCGCTATCTGCTCTATCTTCAAAACATCAGCACCAAAAAATAAAGCAGTTGATTTAAGTTGTTGATGCAGGGATGCTATATATTCATTTATTCCTTTTAATTTCTCTTTGGCGTTCCTTTTTCGAATCTGCACGGCTGGGTTTGTAAAATCTGCTGGAATGTGCATTTTAAAGCTAAGATCAGCCACGAGACCGCTCTCGGTTTCCCTGGGCCAGACTTCCCGTTTTGCTTTGCTATATAGTTCTTGTTCTTGCCGCTACTTTGATTTCCAGAGGGTCACCACAAACGTGGCTCTCAAACACCGATGACTTTTAGTCATTTAAAAACCCCTCGAAACACCATGGGTCCCTTAACCAACTTAAAATACGGAGCAACTTTAAATATCTCAAGCCTTTTCCTCTTTTCCATTTCTGTTGCGTGTCCTACCCCATCCTCTGCCCGTTTCCACATCTCATGGGAAAAACAGATTYGTTCTGTTGTTCTGTCGTTCGTTCTTTCTTTCTGCCCGTTTTTATCTGTTTTCCCGCTKAGTCTTCTCCTGCTTCCCTGTGACCATAAGGAGGTGTGGATGGGAGGAAGGGAAGTGCCGCCTTGTGCGTTTCAGCACTACGATGAGCTGAGAGGTTTCATGAGGACACACAGATCTATTTCGAGCTCTGCCCCATCTCCAGCTGACCCAGATCCTAAATTATAACTACCCAGTCACTGGGAAGAGAGGAAAAAATACACGTTTTATAAAGACCCAGTATATTGGAGATGACTGCAGAGCCTCCATGTCTTCCAAGTGGCCAGACTTGGAAATACTTAGCTACTTTTGCCACCAGTGAAATAGTTCAAAGGGTTTTTGTGGCCCCTCCATAACAGGGTTACAAGTGGCTTCTTCGAAATTCAACGTTGGTTTGGCTTGCTGCTTTTCCTCAGGGGCAAATTACCTTTTTCATGTATTATTAGTCGCAACTTTCTTGAATGGGGCTAAAAGTGGAGGAGTGTTTTGGGTGGAAATGGGGGTTTGCTGGGGTGGTGGCCTTTCAAAACTCATCCAGTGCTGCTTATGTTGCAGGTGTTATCTTATTTAAGGACTTGCCTTAGAGGTCAGGTGTGGGGTGTGGGGTGCAAAATCAGATTTACCCTTGCACTGATGCCCTTGTAGCAGGTGGGGAGCATGGGCTGCTCCTGCCTGCAGAAGGGTGGCCAGCATCTCGCGTGTGGGTCAGTCCCATTCACTACAGGTGACTTCTCTTCGGCTCTGCAGCCCAAAATAGTTGTCCTGTGTGCACGTGCATGCCCACGAACAGCGTGCATACGTGCCTTTGTAACAGATTTTGAGGTATTCAGCTGCTGTGTTTCTCCTCTGAAGATAAGTTTGCYGCTTCTGGAGGAAGCGATTGCAGCGGTGACTCAGCCCCTGTTGCTATGAGCGGTTTCTGTTCTGCTCTGCGTGTGCAGAAGTCCCAGCTTTCACCCCGGATGGGTATAGGACGATTTCAGGAGTCGCCCCGGGAAGCACGGAGCCCTCCAGAGTGCACGCTCTGCAGGGGCGTGCAGCTCCCCACGGCCGGTGCCCGTCTCCGTGGGCTCCGCCGAAGGGCGCGCGGTGCCTTTCGCCACGCGGGTTATTGCTCTCATTTCTATAGTGACTGTTGCCTTGGCAGCTACGGTCCTCGCCCGGGGAACGAAAGCAKCGGATAAGCGGCGGGAAGGCGCCGTTTGCTTCGGAAGGCTGTGCTCGGGCTTTGCCTTTGCTGATGCTGCATACGYCCAGGACGCAGCTCCGTGCAGGTCTTCCCTTTGCAGGCGGATCCTGTCTTTCAGACAGCGTGGTAGGTGCTCTCAGGCTTGGTCATCAGACCCGATCATCTCCTCAAAGGGATGAAGAAAAACCTCCTCTCAACAGGGGACCGTTTGCTAGTTCTCGCCCTCAGATTCATGCCTAGCTAATGGCTCCATTGCCCCGTGGGCTGTGGTGTCCCAACCCTTGGTGGATGTGGTGGAGCCAACAGCTTTGCTTSCCCCAGCAACGTGCCGCCGAGGTGGGACAGGATCCGCGAGGCTCCCGCTGCGCGTCGGCGGTCGCCGGGATTGCAGGGTGGTGGTTGCTCACGCGGGCCGCGTCTCGCCTTGCCCGGCCGTGCCGGGGAGGTCCCAGGCCCTGGCCGTGCTCTGCGTCACCGCTATCACAGCGCAATACGATGGTCATCGCGTCATTATTTATAGGCGGTTATCAGATACGGTGCCCTGAGCAGAGCAGAGGGGCTTCCTCCTTTGTAAAACCGACACAGCGCCTTAGGCGGGTGCCTTGGGTACCCCGTCAAGGCGAAAACAGGACCCAAGGGCGCTCGTTGCTCTTCCCCTTTTGATAGTGACCTTGGAAAATAAAGCCCGTCAAGCTTCTGAATGGTGACCAGACCCCTCTCTTTTCATTAGCAGCACGGCCGAGGGCCGGAGTCTTCCTGCAGAACACGCTTGCCGTTCCTCCTAAAGCTGCCACAACAGGTATCATTGGCTTAGGCGGTGTCCGGGGTTAAAGATGCGCCTTCCTCCTTTCCCATTCCAGCTTCCTGGCCTTTTCCGAGGGAAAAGGCATAACACGGCCCCACCTTGTGGCGTGGGAGTGAGAGTTTGTTCCTGGCCTTCATTGCCAGGCGGCTCCTTGGCCTTTTGTTGTCTTTAATCCCGTGGCTTCGCTTTTGTAGTTGATCGCAGGGTTTTGTTTGAATTGGAATGTAGAAGTATGGAAATAGAAGCTATAAATGTAGAAGTATGGAGTAGAAGCTATAAAACTCATCTTGGAATGAGGCTAAACATCTGCTCCAGCAGCCTTATTATTGCATGGAGCTCGAGTATCGATTAAGGAGCAGAACTAGTCGGGATCCCTTCCCTCGACCGTTGGAGTAATGCGTGCAGTGCCAACCACCTAATGCCCTTGAATCAAACGCAGCAAGCTCAGAAAGCTCTATATGTGCAAGGCTGGCGCTCAGACTGATTAATCGTTTTCTCCTTTTTTTTCCCAAGCAGTCTTTTGGCAGGAATTCTGCCCTTGGACGGGGTTCCAGGCTCTTAGTAACCGCCCCGTGTGTTTTCTCTTTGCCTGTCTTCCCGCTAGAGAGAAGAACGCGAGCGCGAACATGAAGTGAAGCRATTCCTATGCGGGCCCCCGCGCGCCCCTGCGGCACACGGGCACCCGGCGGCGGCCGAGCAGCTTCCACGGACAGGATGGAAAGGCCCCGGAGGAGCCTCCCGCCGCGCCGGCGCCGCGGCCACCGCTGCCCGCTTTGAGACCCATGCCAGGCCCTGCGCGGCGTGCCCGACGCGATGAAAGAAGTGGCGTCCTGGTCGCCCGAGGAGGTGGCGCGCTGGCTGGCGGAGAATGCCGTGCCCGAGTACTGTGAGCCGCTGCGGAGCTTCACCGGGCGGGACCTCATCAACCTGACGGCGGAGGATTTCGAGCAGTCGCCGCTGGCGCGCGTGTCCGCGGACAGCGGGCAGCGGCTGCTGCACATGATCGAGGYGCTCAAGATGGCCCACCACCTGGAGGCGCACAAGAACGGGCACGCCAACGGGCACGCGCACCTCGGCGCCAAGGTGCAGCTCAACGGGATGCCCAACGGCTACAAGAAGGAGATGATCAAGATCCCCATGCCGGAGCCGGAGCGCTCGCAGTATCCCATGGAGTGGGGGAAGACTTTCCTGGCTTTTCTTTATGCACTTTTTTGTTTCATCTTCACCACGGTGACTATCTCGGTCGTTCACGAGCGAGTGCCTCCCAAGGAGGTGCAGCCCCCGCTCCCGGACGCGTTTTTTGATCACTTTGATCGGGTGCAATGGGCCTTTTCTATTTGTGAAATCAACGGCATGATCCTTGTAGGACTCTGGTTTGTTCAGTGGCTGCTCTTAAAATACAAGTAAGTAAAGCTGTTAGGAACCCCAGGGCTGAGTTGCGACGGCTTTTGGGGGCTCGGGTCCTGGTTTACACGTTCACGCCTGGATAAAAYGGGGCTTCTCACCGTTTTTTGGGTTTGGGGGTCCCAAACTGAAATAGATAGTGGTGTCTCTGCATAGGTTTAATATAGAGACCCTACCTACGTTACGGAAAAGCAAATATCGACAGACTCTTTCCTATTGCTTTACATAGTTGGAGCATTTTATCTAAAAACCATTATGTGCTTTATGGCAGTTGCCTTCCTCGAAGGACAACCTCTAAAATGGCCAAGTTATTCTAGCATTTATTTTTATTTGTGGGACTCTGGCAGACTGTGGAATTGATTTTTGCTGTTTTTTTTTTGATATTACTGTTTTTGGTGGGTTTGGAAGCTGCTGCCCCTGGCGTGTGACAGCTCGGGGCTGGGCTTGATGGGCGCCTTTGGGTGGCGAATGCCCAAGCAGAAGAGGAGTAGCACTTTTGTGGTTATCACCTCCCTCGGGAACTAATGCGGGAAGGGAGAGAGGAGACGGATCCAGCAGGACCTCCCTCTCTTTTCTAACCCCTGAGGATTTGGGAGTCACCCCTTCAAGATGTGAAGAGATGAAGTGAAGGTGGCCAGGATGAAGCCCCCTCCTAGCTTAGTTAGGTGACCGAGTTGTTCAGTCTGGGTTCAGTCTGCACCCTCCTAGGATGGTAAAACCCCTGCTGAACCCATCACACAAGCACCGGATGGTTGTTGTAAAGCCTGACGAGTTGTCCTGGCCAGTGATAAGCTTAGAGGATGTAGTTGTTAACTGAGGTTGCCTGCTGCTGTTAAATAAGACCTCCTAATTGCAAGGAGAAGGAATATACCCTATTTGAAGCCAAAAAAAMCGTGGCTTTTGCATCTTTTTATATAATAGGGTACACACAGCGCTGTGACACAATGTTTTCCAAGCTAAGTACACTCAGTACAACCAGWTAGTCTTGCACTGTATGTCTGCTTCACTGCGGTTGTTTGCAGCTTCTCTGGTAGGAGAAGACACCCAGAGTTGTTGCTGGTGCGTGAGCAGTTGCAATGCAAGGATGCAGGTAGCGTTTGCTCTTGTTTTGGGGAGTCCTGTCAAACTATTTCTTCTAAAACAGCCTTGTGGAATAAATACACGTTTCAGCTTATAACAAACCCCCCTCCCAGTGTTTTCAGCACTTGCACAGGCTCTCATGATGCAGTCGTTAAGTTTCCCACAATCAACCTCCTGGGTCACCTTAGTYGAGTCGCTGTGTGTTACTGGCGGGTAAAGCATGGGAAACTTTAACAAATAATTTAGTGTCCTGGGGTGCAAAGTGATCCCCACGGCTGCAGCACAAGTCCCGAGCTTCGGAAGCACCCGTGAAACCTTGCTGCCTCGTGTGTTTTATTTGCCTTTGCCTATTCCGTTTGCCTTGAGTGACCTCCCTTTCTTTATTCCTCTCCTTCTCTTTTCTCTTCCAGGTCTATTATAAGCAGAAGGTTTTTCTGTATAGTTGGCACACTGTACCTGTACCGGTGTATTACCATGTACGTAACTACACTCCCAGTACCGGGCATGCATTTCAACTGCTCTCCAAAGGTAAACTTCTCCCTGTCCTTCCCTACTGCAATCTGGATGTTCTCCTGTGTTCTCTCCCCAAATTTCGAGYAGGGCTTTCCCAGTAACCGCTGCTAAGTTGAAGATACTGATGTGGCGTGAGGAGGGCTTCCTTCTGCAGATGCTCTGCGTGGCCTCTCCGTGGAGGTGTTGATGGCTTTTAGGCAGTGCAGGCATTCCCACCCGTTTTGAAGGCCCCATCTACCCCGTTTCTGTAGCACTGCTTGTGTGACGGGCTCTTTTCCCATCTCCACCAAACCAGCTGAAGCACTGAGGCCCATGGAGGTGCTATGTGGGACTTGAACAACTCTGTGCGTTACATCAGAGTACACATTGCGTTTGATAACGCCCCAACAAGACCTTCAGACTGGTTCAGCCTGAAGCTTTCTGTCCCGTTGGCCTCTTGGAGGTTACAGCTTGGGATCTTCATCCGGTCTCAGGGCCTGACTTRGTCTCCCATGAGAAGCTCCTTGGGATTCTTGATGTCCCGCAGGAGGCAAGGTCCACGTCGCAGTCGCAACCATCTATGACCCGCAAGGCCCCCGGGCTTCGTGTGCACAGCCCGGGGTTAGAGGCCATCTAGCAAAACCCTAGATCAAGCTGCTGGCTTGGTTGGTGCGTGTCCTGGCACTCCTGTCGACGGGTCGTGCGGGAACACATCAATCTGCAGGGCAAACAGAGCCGCAACGCTTCACTTCCCGGGGAAGCGGCGCCAACAAACGCTCGACAATTCGGAGCGGTTGCCAAGCCGCGTGTGGCTTCTCAAGTGACTTAAGACTTATTAAAGAGAAGCCAGTGAGAGAGAAATCAACATGGTGTTTGATCGGTCTGCCATTACGAAACAAAAATACATAAATAAAAGCAGATATTTATGAACTTTTAAACGAGTAAATCTACCCTTTTTGGAAGTCTGCGGTGTTGGCGCGTTGGCCCCATTACTCACAGTCAAGCCAAGCCTACGTTTGCCCTCTTCTATTTCCAGGATAAGTTTCTACTGCTAATAATAGCAAGGGTTTCTTGAAAGATATAAATATGTTGGTGGGGAAAAAAATAACTTCTCATCGCCTCATTGAAGGATGTGTAACCGGAAAGAGTTGGCATTTGGGAGCGTTTTAATGCTCGATTAGGAGCTGTTAGCAGGAAATATTTCATCACTCCGAAGGATCTCGCATAGATCCCTCCCAAAAATGCCATCCATACTTAAATTAAGAATAAACCTTAAAGTAAAGGCATAGCATGGCTGGATGAGTGCACCCTCCAGGCTCACCTCCTAGTTTGTAGCTAGTCTGGATCGACCCTGTCGGATGTTCAGGAAGGCCCCTCTTACTCATGGGGACTCTTCTTGGGCGTCTTGGGTGAGACCTTCTCCCTGGTGCACAAAACCCGCCTCTGGGCAGCTGGATGTGTGGGATGGGTCCGCTCTTCCCCGGGATTATCGTGTGCAGGGCCAGCGCTGTYGCCGACAAGCTGAATTTAATTAAGCCTCATTTATTCAGAGTGTGCTGCCTCCCTAACAGAAGGAAAAACAGATGTTTGGAGAACGTGAGGAAAAACGTCTAATTAGAGCTGGGATCTTTCTAATTACTGTTTTTGTGGAGCTTTTTTTCTTTCTTTCTCTCTTTTTTTTTCCTTCCCCAAGACTTTTATATTCCAGAATTGGTAGAAAAGCAGATTTTTTTTCCCCTAATCCTCCCTCTATATCTGTGGCCTATAAAAACATAGATACAAATACATAATGAGAAATAAGAAAAAACTGTCTGAACCCACTGCCTCTGCTTGAAGATSCTTCCTAAAATCCTCCTGCTGCTCTAGAGCCACAACCATTAGTTAAAGGCAGAACCTCTATGAAAACTTAGACCTTTAAGCAGAGCAATAGTATATCTAAAATACCAGAAAAAAAACTGTTTTTGCTTGACAAAAAGCTGTTGACAGCATTTTAGTCCTCTTGCAGGCACTTTTTTGGTTAGCTATCACACTGAAAAGATGGTGTCTTTATTAGAAGTGACTGAATAAAGAGTTTGCACTTCTGCACCAACTTGCACCTGTGCACACATATATTTGTTTAGATAAAATGACCCGTTCTCCTTCAATCTCTTTAGTGATCGTAGAAAAAGTCAGAAGACCCTCCAAGTTTAATATTCGTAGGGAAATTTTACTAATTTCCTTGCCTTGGGAATGTTCCAAACCAATATTCTAGGCAGATGGATGTAGGAGAAGAAAGTTTCCTGCTATATCCGTGATATTATCTTTATCATACGTGCAAAGGATGAATCAAAAATAATTCTTGTCTCTATTCCTGTCCTTTCCCTCCTCCTAGAAACACATTGCTAGCCTCGAGGAGAAGTAAGTCATAGCATTTTATTGATGAAATTCTCATCCAGCAACGCAAACAAGACTAAACCATCTCCCCAAYGATGGGGAAAGATGCTTGCTGATGCCCTGCTTGCAACTCCGTAGGGTTGGCACTGACTTGCTCCTCTGTTTTCTGCTTTCTCCCCCCAGCTTTTTGGAGACTGGGAATCCCATCTGCGCAGGATAATGAAGTTGCTCGCTGGCGGAGGGCTGTCCATCACGGGCTCCCACAACATGTGTGGTGACTACCTGTACAGCGGCCACACCGTCATATTAACGCTCACCTACTTATTTATCAAAGAGTGTAAGTTCCCTGCCCTTCCTGCTGCTGTATACGTTCTCCCCACGCCAAAACATTGCTCTTTTCGTCCGTAAACACAACGCGGGCAGAAATGCATGCTTTTCCAGGTAAATTCTTAGGAATTCGGTGACGTGGCACTTGGGTAAAGCTTGGAGACAGAGTARAAGGCTTTGCCATGCAGATGCATGCACTAGATGATCTCTGGAGGTCCCTTCCAACCTTAATGACTCTGTGTCGTGCGGCCTCTGCTGACGATAGCAGTGGTCTCGAGCGGTCGTGACGTGAGGCGTCCGAGTCATCGCTGCTCGTGCTTCTTTGCAGATTCTCCACGGCGCCTCTGGTGGTATCACTGGCTTTGCTGGACGCTCAGCATGGTTGGGATGTTCTGCATCCTCCTTGCTCATGACCACTACACTGTGGACGTGGTGGTGGCTTACTACATCACTACACGACTCTTCTGGTGGTATCACACCATGGCCAACCAGCAAGTGAGTAGCCCCTGCTCTTCGGATCTCCTTGTTTTCCTTGTATTCTGTGGTTAGACTTTGGTTTTGCAAAGCTACTGATGGTTGCACATGAGATGCAATGAATTCCTACAGGTAGGGCTCTCTTCCATAATTATTTTCTCCATTTATCTCCGCGCAGGTGCTAAAAGAAGCTTCCCAAACTAACCTCCTGGCAAGGGTCTGGTGGTACAAGCCCTTCCAGTACTTTGAGAAGAACGTCCAAGGAATCGTACCTCGCTCCTACCACTGGCACTTCCCCTGGCCGGTGCTCCACCGGGGTAGGCAAGTTAAATACAGCAGATTGGTGAACGACACATAACAGCGTGTCCAAAAGACAAAAAAAAACCCACAACGTGGGGGGCAAGGACCTGTCCCAAGTGCTAAGAACTCCGTACGAGAAGATGCCATAAAACAAAACAAAAAAACCCTGCTCCCTAACCCTTTCTTTTAACAGTTACCTTGACTTTAACCTATTCAGTTACCTGGTAAGCACTGTGATCTTTTTTTCTCTCCAAAGGATCTGCGTTGGACAACAATAAAGAAAATTTAACTTATCATGCACTGTTATACATTTCTTGTTAATCGATTTGGGATTTGCATTACCCATCACCATGTTCCTTTGTATATGATGCGACAGCATAGATGAAAGCTTTTATATCATAAGTTCTGGTCTTTCCAGTCACGTCTGGGAATAAAGCATATTATTTTCTTGGGAAAACATACTTTTCATATCTCTTGCCCCAAAGATTGGGCTGTAAGCCATTTTCTAACAAATGACTCTGTGAAGGTTTCTAAATTACCTGCCTTGGGTAAAAATGGAGAAATCTTTCTACCTGTTGCACCGAGACAAATATAAGATGATAGACACAGGAAGGTTTGGGAATCTCGATTTTGTAGAATCTGCAGTGACTGTGTCCAAAAGTGTGCAAAAAAAAAAAAGGAAAAAAAAAAAAAAAAGATGTAGAGTGATTTTCTAAGTATTTCCTAACTTTATTTTTCAAAATGTGTATGAAGATTAAATATAAAAAGATTTTTACATGTCAGAGAATAGAGAGTTAAAATTTAAAAACAAAAATGCTTCTTGGGAGAAAGAGATTTGTCTATGTTTCTAGTGCCTTTCTTGTCTTGATTGTACGGTCAGTAGGCAGACATAAATGTTTTTATTTAAAATAAAGTATTCCATAAAAGCAGAGTATATATACTGTATAATTACTAATTTTTTTTTTTTTTTGCATTTATAGCTAAATTAAACTGGAAATTTGCTTATAAGGTTGAAATTGCCATGTGTAGGGAAAAAGCAAATGTAGAGGGTCTGATCTTGTTCACACATTGTGGGCAGGTCGTATTAAAAGATATCACTTTATTGTCTACTTGGTAGCTGTATTTAAAAAAACAAAAAAACAAAAAAAAACAGCCATGAATTCCTGTTTTTTAAGAATTTTACAAATGATCACTGAGTGAACTACGAATGGTTTCTCCAGCCCGTGTTGAAATGTTGTTGCAAAACAACAAAGATAATCTATTTCTTTAAAATATTTGTGCAGAAACTGCATGTAATTATACGTTTCACTCCTACCATACATAATGTATGTCTGGGGAAATATTCTATGCTACGTGCAGAACATGCCAATGTGCAGAACAAAATAGATTTTTTAAGAATGAAGAAGAAAAATATATATAAATATATATATATATATCCAGTCTGTATTTTACGTGAAACAGAGTTATCTTCTGTAGGGTTTTTGTGTATTCACAAGGTGATATTTGTATTGTAAAACAAAAAATGGTGAAGGAAAATAAAAAGGCTTTTAAAAAATGTAGTTTCCTTTATCTTTTTGATATTAATTTTAAATTTGAAGCTAGGCTTATTCTTTATTCCTCCAAGCCTTGTCTTTAATTTTGTGTGTTATTGCACTGTAGGCCCTCAAAGCTGGACTGTATGGAAACTGCATTGACTTTTTTTTTTTTTTTAATTGCTGTTCTCGATTTGGCAAATCAGTGCCTTATTTGAAATATAAATGCTATGCAATAGATTCTGATCTTTAGGGGTCTGAGAACGGATCTAAGAAGCTTCCTTGGAACCATCACCAGGGCTTGAAAAATCTACCCCGAAACTGCTGGGAAGGGAGCGCGTTGCCACCTAGACCCCTGTAACCCCATTCTCTATCAGTCTTACGATTTAAACTACAAAACCCCTCAAATTTCTGTGAGTACATTGCAGTGAAAGCATTATTATTGTTATTATTATGAGGTTTTTTTTAACGATGGGCTAAGTTTGTTGTCTTCTCCACCGTGTTCCCCGGCCCTGACCTGGCTCCTTCTCGACGCATTGACCCGGTGTTGCTTTTGCTGCTTCGCCTTGCTGTGGCCAAGTAAGATTTCTCGCTAGTTCCCTGTTTCCCCAGAATGGCCGGGTTTCCTTCCACGCTTCCTGTGTTTCTTGGCAACGGCACTTGCAGAGCTGCTAGCAGATTTGCTTCGCTCTGCGCGGTTTTTGTTAAGTCGCTGCTGGCAATGCTACCTTTGCAGCTCTACAGTGAAACGTTTTGCAAAACGACCCAAAAAATCCCCTCCTGAAATGGTTTCTTGAGAGAGTTCACACTCCCAGACGTAAATGAAAGAGTAGATTTTTCAAGGCCTGGATCACGCACAGCCAAAACCATTGACCTAAGTAAATGTATGACTATATGCACATGACATTAAATGGAATCTGCTGAATTCTGCATTGTAGTGTCTGACTTACTGCATGAACTTGGCTGAACGTGGTGTCGTTGCTCACAGCGGAGCTGCGCCTTGTTGGAGCTCGCTCTCCTGAGCAGGCAGGGGCCTGGAGCACTGCTCGCAGCGTGGTCTGAAGCAGGGCACCGAGGGAATGGAGATGGGACAAAAATTGTGTGGCATCGGTGCCAGTGACTCTTTTCCAGAAGTTCTCCAGATATGGTAAATCTGATGGATCTTTATTTTCTAACAAAGTGTAGCAAAGGATGGTGTTCTCTTGGAGATTTTAAAGGTGTGCGTCCACCTTTTGAGCGTAATATTTTTGGGATGAGATCTCCGGCAGCTTCCTGGGACAAGCCTCTTCCTGGCCAGAGGCTGCACCACCACCTACATCATCCCTTTGCTGTGGGGCTCTGGCACAGGGATGCTCTGCGTGCCTCCCCTTTGGGCAGTGCAGCTTTCTTGGATTTGCATGGACCTTCACCCRTCAGAGAGGAGAGAGCAGCAAAGCAGAGCCGGGGCAGAGAAAAAGACTGAGAGCGGCCGTCTGCGTCCCTTCCCTCCTAGGCATACTTKGCGTAAGTCAGCAAAATTGTCGTCAGACGCAAATTCCAGGAAGCTGGAATTTGGAGGAAGGATCTCCACCAGATAAGACTGGGTACGTCTGCTTGAGATGGAGAAGGACCCTGGGAAAAGTCCCTTTGTCAAAGTTGGGGGAAACAGAGATCAAGATGTTTCCCAGAGGATGGACTTGAGAAGACGAGTGCCTGCATTTCAGATCCATCTCCGTGCAGCTTTTAGTCCTTCCATGTGAGGAAGGCTTAAGACCCTCTGGTAAAATACACCAGAGGAGAYGGCAGATTTTTGAGTAGCACAGAACAACCAAGGACAAGGATCCCTTTCCCTTAACTGTTCTGCAAACAGTAGTGTTTTGAGAACAAACTTTTCTAGGCTGGTTCGGCAAGTGTAGCTAGCAGGGGCCTAAAGCAGATAGATTAGCCGGCTTTCATGGTGCATTTGTACCTCCCTTTTGGGCTGTTTAATAAGGTCTTCGGCAGGGACATGCGGCCAGAAGAGAGGAAACCTTCATCAGATGTAGCTTGGCATTGCCATGCATCTTCTCTCTCCTTGTTGTCTTTAGGCACATCCTTAGCAAACGTTGGGAGCCATGCAGGCATCCCCCACTTTGATGCCAGAAAGCTTTTGCTGGCATCTCTGACCCTGGCATTTGTCACTGTAGGCTTGATGGCCATCAGTTGGCGTAGGTTAGGTCTCCAGTTATCAGCCAAAGCCGCTGGAGTTGGCTTGGCAAGGATCTGACCAGTTCCTCCAGTTTTGTGCTGTTGTTTTTCTCTCTTCAGGCCCAGGGAGCAATGAGGGATTTTTTCTCTACAGCTTTTTCCATAAGTGCTACTTGGCTGTTGCTCAGATCAGGTACTGTCCTGGTGCTGGTGACATGGCAGGTAAGTGGTGCACCTGTGAGACCTCTGCTGTGAAGTCACAGCTGAGCAGAAGATCCATCCAGGGCCCAGGAATGCTTCTAATTACCTCCGTTGTGGGTGGAGATGAGGGTGCTATTGTCACCAAAGTGTGTGTTCTCGACCAAACGCTTCTGCGTTGGAGCACCGCAGACTTTGGGTCAACAGGGCAGGACTTTTTCCAGCCAGTCTCATGGGCTGGTAGACACATGATCTTACAGTGTATGTCCATGGTGTAGCAGCTGGCTTGCCTCTTGAGTGCTCTGGGTTACTTTGGGTTGATGCGCTCTTTGGCCTAACTCATAGTTGCTCCTGCTGAGGCTTTGCCGCAGGTTGCTGCAGATGCTGGTGGTAGCAGTGTGACCYTGCAGCTCATCACGAGGTGCGCAAAGCACTGCAACGTTGTCCTCCAAATCAATGAAGTAGGTCTAGATTTCACTGCCTCTTCCTTGGAGCCTGCGGTGCAAGGCACAGGTTACTTCTGCATTGTGGGGAGTCTTCCACACGTGTTTCTGGTATGTTGAAGCCTCATGGGAATCACTGTAATTGCTGATYTTCTCTGGGGAGAAGGATATGCTACGAAATCTGTCACACATCTGTTTAGTTTTAGTTGATTTTGGTTCCTCTCAGCTTCTTCCCAGCCTAGGGTTGGGAATGGGCAGTACATATATACAATTCTGTAGCTTTGAGAAGTGACAACTTCTGTAGTTTTGGGTTTTTGTTGTTGTTGTTGTTGTTGTTGTTGTTAACACTTGCCCCAGTGCATCCCTGATGACCCGGTTTCTGCTGTTGAGAACAAGGACAGCATGGGCAGTTTTCCGTGCGTGCCCAACTGGGCCACCCATCAGCACCATCTTTACATGGAAGGTGCTGGCTTGTCCTCGCCTAGTGCTGAGGTCCCTTTATAGCTGGGCTTCTCGGTGTGTTTTAGCTGATGGAAAATCTTACCAGATGAAGGGGAAATCAAGTAGGACGCTTGGGTGTCACAAGAGCTCCCATCCCGTTGCTGGGAGCAGTTTTCGGCTCTGGAGCCCTTGTAGAAGCTGCTGTCACGGTGTTTCTCCAATGCAGCGTGTCATCTCCAAAAGGGCTGTTTGCAAACATAGGAGCATCGTGTCAAGTGGAGATGCTGGCATCCGTCCCGGAAAAGAGCTTCACACCCTGGCTGGCTATTTAGTACATGCACAAGGGCAGGTGCTTAAGGCTCTTGAAGGACATCATGGTCAGCACAGCTAGTGACTGCCACAGCCACCTCCTCTCTTCTATTTTTTATTCCATATTGAAGTTTTAAGTTTCAAATCTACTTGCAGAAGGCGGTCCTGGGCTTCGCTGACATATGCTTACATTTTTCTTAGATATATTTGAGCAGGTTTAAACCCAGCTGAGATCTTGGTGGAAAATCTGAATTGTTCCATATATTCCTGGAGGAAGAAGATGTTCCAGAAAGGAATCGCTGCCTATCTCAGCCTGAGAAAGATCTCATGTTACCGTCTGATTCCTCAGAGTCTGCTTGGAGTCGTCTGCTGCTCTGTGCCAACCCAGTTGTAGCAGAAAGATGGGAGGAGAGAGACCACCTGACCTGCTAGAACAACCCTAGAAACTGCTCAGCTTTGCTGATCTCTACACTGGTGTCCGAACACCTTCTGGTGAGTTGGGCTAGTTRGTGGGTTAGCTTGGCTTATTAAACATGCTCTCGGAAGCCGACAATTTAGCCACAGAATATGACTCTTTCCTGGACAGGAACAGTCTGCTGTTATTGGGTTCTGGCTCTGGTCTGAGACGTCTGAGAAGACCTGTAGCAAGTTTGTGTCATGGAAAACCCACAGCAGTGTTGATGCAAGGGGCTCTGCTCAGCACTCCGTGGCCTGTGTCGGGTGGTTTTGGTGCTCTGCAGAGCGCAGGCAATGCTGTCCTGGTGGAAGGWAGCTCTCCTGTTCTTTGGGCATGAGCATCAACCCAGAGCACAAGGGCACACATCCACCTGTGATGAGAAAAAAARTCATCCTGAAGATGGGAACCCACCCCACGTTTTAGCCCTTCACCCACCACGGTTAAATACAATTTGAGCATTTTCACGGGGAAAGGTCGTGGAGAAAAGTCATGTGCTGTGGTCTGATAAGTCACTCCACAGCGTGTCCTTCCTTGTCATATCCCCAACAGCCTTTTTTTTTTTTTTTTTTTTTTTGGCTGACTTTTCTGTGCTGAAACGTTATCTCTTGTTGTCAGGATCCTTCTGTATTTGTGCAAAACGAACTTTGGTCATTCTTTCATAAATGCGTTATGTAAGAGGGTTCACGGTGGCTTTCTCCTCCTTGTCACCAGGATCACAGGCTTGGCACATGTCTTGGGTCCATGTGAATGCCATTACCCACACAGAGAGCTGATGCTTGTTTCATTTTTCATGCAACTTTTTTTTTTTTCTTTGCTTCCTGGTGGAAAAAAAAATATCAGCCAGATTATGTGACCGATCTGTCCTCTTCTCAGCTATGTGTAGAGGAAGGCAACGCACCCAATGCCCTTCCCGCCCCTCCAGCCTCTTCGCTTCGCTTGTGCAGCTGTTTGCTGATGAGCTCAGCGGACAGGAGCGATGCTCGTCAGGCCTTCAGACCTACTC